CCGTGTCGTCGTCGACTGGCAGCTCGGCGGGGACGACGACCAAGGCGCCGACGCCCAAGCCCACGTCCAGTGCCGCCAGCGTGACGACGGGCCTCGTGGCGCTTGCCGCGGTCGCTGTCGCGGCCATGTAAGCCTCTATGTACTCGAAAATACGTCTTTTTGAATGGACGGCTGTCGTTGGTTTGAAACCGTCACGTTGGAAAGTGCAATGTACGTGGCACGCGGACGTGCGAGTACGACCTTTTGTGACACGATAAGGTCACTCTGCCTGGTAAGAAGGATGCCTTTGTTGTCACGGAGCCGATGGATGGCGTTCTCGGTCATGCAGTGCAGGTACCCTGTAGCCGAGCGGTTCTAGAGCACATCTACAGCTCACTGGCGCCATGCGAGCTTACGACTTCGTTGACATTGTGAGAAGTGCTCGCCACGAGTCTCTACTCATTGCCTCTCACCGAGTCGTGGTGGTTGTCGATGGGTTGTTGGAAAGTGATGGAGCAGAGGGACAATCTTTTTCCCGGCTTGGCTCCATGGCATCATAGTATTACTACCAACTGCAACTAGATACGGCATGCTAACGAGAGAGGGAGTAGAGACTGGCCAGAGACAATGTGCAAATTTTTTGCACATTTCTCTGTGGATATTTGATATCCACAAATATCAAATTTGATATCCATGAGAATGCAGGTGGGTTCTCCGAGTTGCCACAAAGCTGGCTGGACAGAGAATGCTGAGATAGCATCCACTTCCGACTCAAGCATAGCCTATGCTAGAATCTGTACTAAGCTTAGTATACGGTCGTGTACCCATGCTGCATAGGTACCGGTACGCTGCCGTATACCCAGAGACGACAAGATGGTGATCAGAGGTACGTACATCCAGTATGAAAGACTGCCGGTCGACAGCAGGTGCGGGATGAGTATGTATGCCTCGTCCTCTTCTCGGTCAGCTGTTTCATGCCCTCGGTCTGGCTCGGTGGGAGAGAAGGTGGCGTCGCCGCTCAAAGCGTTCATATATCTTTTACCCAACACCCCAGCACCCGACCCCAACCATGAAGACGACGGCCACGATGATGCTTCTTGCCTCGAGCGTTGCGCTCACGATGGCCGCGACGACGCCCGCCCCCGCCCCGACGACGGGTGGTGCCACGCCTGCTACGGCGGCGGCTGCGCTGTGCACAGCGAAAGCTGTCGACAATGCTTGGGACACCGTCGAGGACGCCGCCGAGCCGAGCGGGAAGAAGTGCGCTGTGGACGCCGGTGTCACCGAAGACGCGCTCGAAAGCATGATCGGTGTCACACCGGCGCAGTTCGACTTGATGGCCAAGTCGGCCAACTGCGCGACGTACTATACCTTTGTGCAAAAGGCGCTCGCGTCGATCCAGCCACCGTGTGCCCTCACGATGACGCCCAAGGTGACGACGACCGCCGACATGGCTGCGTATACGTTCCAGCAGTACACGGACTTTTTCAAGGCGTCGTCTTCGGCGTCGGCCAACACGACGACGGTCGCACCGGGCAGCAACAAGACGACGTCGGTGCCTGGCGCAGCTACGACCAAGCCCTCGTCTGTGTCGTCGTCGACTGGCAGCTCGGCGGGGACGACGACCAAGGCGCCGACGCCCAAGCCCACGTCCAGTGCCGCCAGCGTGACGACGGGTCTCTTGACCGTCGCTGCAGTCGCGGTCGCGGCCATGTAATACCGTTATCTACACGAAATTCATGTTTTTTGAATGGACGGCTGTCGTTGGTTTGAAACCGCCACGCTGGAAAGTGCAACATACGTGGCACGCGGACTGCATACAAGTACGCGTACCACTGCAACGGGTCGTCAGTTGTCATATTTCTTGATAGTACTGCCACGACATTGATGTGCCGTCGCTGCTCGTGTACGTCGTGAGCCATTGCAGCTTGTGACCAGCCGAAAGTCCGCATCATGAACTGGTGGCGCGCGTGCCTGCTGTTGTGTTGCAAGAACGCAAACGGGCTCCGATGCTGCGCGTGCTGCAGGAAGGCAATCTAAAACCGACTCCCGGTTCCAAGTGCGATGATATTTGTCATGCCGTCATGGATGCTTTGTATGAGACGACAACATGGATCTCTGCAGCGCGTACATGGAGTACCGCGGCTGGCACTTGCGAATCGAGGACCTCGTAACACCAAAGTGGGCATAACCTTGCCAGTGCATAGTACGCCTACGAACACATACGTGCATTGAATTTGACAGCTACGGGATGAGTTGGGATGAGACTGCTACGTGCGCGAAGATGAAAGCAAGAGCATGCAAGACAGTTCATTAATGGCCCGCGCGTTGGTACGATGGACTCGATCCTCCAATGGCATACCACGGAGCCTACACTTTGTGTGTGACGTGTTTGTGTGGCATGTTACCCCTTGCAGCATGCTACAAGGAGCACCAGTAGCATATCTGTGGTACTGACAAGCCTTTCGACCACACAAGGAGTGAATGCAACACAGCAACGATTGGTCGTAGTGCAGAGTGCAAAGCAGCTCTGAAGTGAACTAACCTAGCACCACTACCACAACTAGGCGCGGAGCCATTGAGATTGATCGCATGGCCTGCTCCGACACAACCATCAGTTGCGCCGCTCCGCAAAGGCAACCAAACGGCTGTTTATGTGCGTCCAGGAGGTCGACTAGACGTGGTTCGAGAGCCCTTTCCGTGCCCAAGCAAACTACCTTCTCATCATCATTAGCAAGCAGCGTCAAGAAGCAGCGCGGGAGAAACACCCGCGCGCGTGGAAGAACGTGGTGTCTTCTAGGATGCACCTAGGATCCTTGCCGTGTGCTCTGTCGCAGAGAGGCTGTACTGTACACCATCTTTGGTGGGTTCTATGATGGGCAGGGCGCGTCGTTGGTCTCAACGCCCCGCCTGATACGACAGCATGCACAAGCGGCTTGGCAGGAACGATTCCACGTCGACCAGATTTCCATCGACCGCGAGGCGAGTTGAAGACGATGGCTCAACGATTCACCCTTCTCCCAACTTCAACCTTTTGGCGCAAGGACGGAACGTGCGCGATCGTCCGTCGTCTGGTGCTTCTTCGAATCACACACATGCGACTCAGATCTACATTGAACCGTTGCAACATCCAGAGGGCTCCTCGGAGCTTTCAGTAGGGAGCGTTCTTGTGCCGCTACTACACTAGTTACAGCCACGTCTTGGATGCCTCACACATTCGCATGACCTCCTATCAATTGCCCTTTGTCGCGTGCTCGATGTATCATCAGGGGAGACCTCGGAACACATCGCAAGACGGCGACACCAAGTGTACATAGGAAAAGTGTCTTCAAGCTCACAAAGCGTTACCGACGCAGGGACCTGCAAGATTTCGTAGACGGTGCAGAAGAAGAGAGCGCGTCCGCGAAGCTCCGCGTGACGCCACCCATGCCACATCCCTACCACTCAGCGATTACGATCGTCGCCGCGTCGGCGCGTCTGACATCGCAGCCGACGGCAAAGCAAAAACCTCTCTGCCTAGTAGCTCCCTCTTCTCAAGAAGTCGTGAAGAGGACGCAAGGGTAACATAAAAATACAAAGACATCAAGACATCGCAAAGACACACCAGACGCGGGCACAGACGCAAACGCGTGTAGGGCGACGAGAAGGATAGATGACAGTCCCCACTTCGTTGGCAAGCCGCAGAGTGGTACCGTAATGCACTAAAGATATGCGAAATGGACCGTGGACCACGGAGCTCTCCTCGGAATCATGGTTTGCATCCAGATGCCAATGATTGCGAGGGTGCGAGCGGTGCCCCGGGTACCCGGGCGCGACATGGCCGCGTGCCCCGGGGCGTTGGCCGGAACAAACCGCGCCCGGTTCAGTTTGCAATTCGAAGCGTCATGCACACGTCCCCGGCGTCAAGTCCGCGCCGCTACAAGCGGTACCTCACAGAAGAGACTCTCGAGCGCAACCGGGAGCGGTCGAAAAAGTACTATGCGCAAAACCGCGCCAAAGTGCTTGCAAAATTAAAGTCGAATTATGCCAAGAAGCGCGAGGCCGAGACCGCTGCGTACTGCGAGAAGCACCGCGGGTTCTTCCTCAGCTACTTTCAAGTCGACCCGTTGGCGCCGACAAACAAGGACACGGAACCCCCGTCGTCACCACCCCACCCCACCACCACCCTCAATGCGCTCGACCTGGCCTACATTTTGAACTAGCGTACATAATATATACACTATTTAGTTATTTTGTGGCGGACAGACAGCGCAACACGGACACGTCGGACCGTCGACACTGCGGAAAGCTCCTCGCAAACGTCCATCGCTGTATCCATGTCCCCGACGTCTGCAGTTTTTGAAAGATTTGGCGCGACCGAATGGCCATTCATGCTTATGATATTGGGTTGGTGTGCGGAAAGACGCACACTGCGCTGGACGAGCCGATGCATAAAGGACAGGCGGTCATGTGTACTTGGACAATAACGACATTACAAGAACGGTTGACAGGGACCGGGCGCTCTGCGCACGCACTGGCGCCGACGACACCCCAGATTCTCAGTGTGGCGGAACATCAGTGGTGTTACATAGCCACAACATCGGCTTTCCCACTGATTTAATAGTTTTACCCCATGGTTGTCACCCCCTGGTTTTACCCACTGGTTTCGTACTACTAGTACACACGAATCGTTACATGAGTTAGAGTAGGTAGAGAGCGACGGTGGCATTTCTTTGTTCCTCAATCTGGGCTTGGAGGAGCGCGGCATTTTCTTCGAGTTTCGACTTCAAATCCTTCACGAGACTGGATTCCGCCGAGTTGGGCAATGTCGACAGGATGCGGCGCACGGTCGTCTGGACGTCGTTCATGCCGCACATGGCCGTGTAGTTGGTCTTGGCGAGCGCGAGCCACCGGTACCATTCCTTGGTCATGGCCTCGACGAGCAAGTCAGTGTCTTCTTGGGCGACGGCCATGAAGCTTGCCTCCGAGATCTTGTTGGGGCCAGCGATTTTGTAGCAGTGCTCCTTGAACATCGCCCAAAACATACGCACGTCTTCAAAGCACGTCTTCATGCGACCGAGCGCCGTTATGGTCATCTCGAGCTGCGCCAGGGCTCGGCAACCGTGGGCGGGCTTCTCTTCGGCCAATCGCACGGCGCAGCTCATGTGAGCGTTGGCTGTTAGTACCTCATTCAATCGGGCCATGCCGTCGCGCCAGAAGGCGATAACCTGTTTCTCGTGAGCAGATGCCACCTCTTCCGAGCGTGCGGCGAGCGTGGGTAGCGCCTTTAGCAGCGCTTTTGCGTCGTCGCATTCGTGTTTCTGGAGGCAAAAAAAAGCCAGCTTGAGGTGCTTGAGAGCTTCCATTGACGTTTGAAGGTGCGTGGAGCTCGCACTGCGTAGGGCGTCGACCAGCGTCTGGTACTTGATCGCGAGACCGATGATCGACGCGTGGTAATTCTGGCCATGCGACGCAACCATTGCACACTCGAGGAGACGTGCAATGTCGTGGAGCAGCCCGATGCATTCTGGCATGCGCAGGTTTCGCTCTGCGGCGACGACTTTCTGCAGGACGTTGGCGTCCGCGAGTACCGGCTCGACGTCCGTCTTGTAATCGTTGAACGAGCCAAACGCACGCGTCGGGTCAGCCATGGTCGCAAGTTGGGAACTGCGATCTGCTCGGTGGCCGAATGAATGATATACTGTATCAATCAATCACAGCAATGCACCGAGAAGCTTGAATCCTCGGAGCATTTTGGACTTGACAATATGTGTCGTGAACGCATCGTACTCCACGGACATTCGTTTGCGATTAGGCCATAGCTCATGACGACACCCTACATAGCGTGTTTTGAAGCTCTCACCAATGCGCAGTGCACGATGGATAACCTGGACCCAACACGATCCATTCTCTTTCAAGACCCCACCGAGTACAGTGCACTCTTCCCGTAAAAGAGAGGTCCAACGGTGGCGTGATGGGCAACCTCGCAGCTGCTGGAAAGCGCGCCACGAGATCACAGACCATTCGATCCACGACCTCCTTGTAAGCTACAGCCAACGCGACTCGGCTCTCCAGGTAGCTCTCCCAGACGCGGCGCGTGTGGTGCGGCGAGTGTGACGTTTCCAGCTTGACAACTGCCTTGCCGCGCCATCTTTGTTCTGTAGTATTACACTGTACAACTACAATCGCATTCAAAGTGCAGACGCATAGATAGTATAGTATCGAGCTACTTGAAGCTTGCCACAAACTTGGTTTCAGCAGTCTGCTCTTGAACGACGCCAAGGTCAACGTCGAAGCAACCACCTACGTACTCGACCCGCATTGAAAACGATACAAGAAGGACGACCTGCTGCTGTAGAAGAACCAGACACTACTGCGCGTGGCCCTTGACAAGAAGCACGACGTCGTCGCTCAGCTGTTGCACGACCATCTCCGTCGCCAGAGACAAGCCAAGGTACCAACTCGCATGCAAACGAGAGAAATGTTGACGGCTTGCTATCGCTATCGCTAGCTGGGGCAGCGCTGGAGGACGGACGACTCTCGGACGCCAAGACCCTCTTGTCACAAGACACGGTCGATGCCACTCTCTTCGACGACGTACGCAATGGCATGTTTACGATCCATGTCTCCTATACCAGAAAACCTGTAGACGGATCGGCCACTGCTGCACCGCGTCACCGCGACGGGGGACCTCGAGCTCCTGCAGAAGGTCCTTAAGAAAACAAATGTCAACATTGACGCAACCGACAAGGTACACACACTACCGCAAACGTCAATGACAATATCGTCCATACCATTGTAGCAAGGAAAAACGGCGCTCGCATCGATTGCCGCCAAAGACGCCGGCAGTGTCGTCCGCGCCCTTGTCAACGCCAACGCACGTCTGGACCTGCTTGACGAGGTAGCACTTTGCAGTGCATCCTTTCGCAGTGTAAGAAAACGTTTAGGGCTCGGTGGTTCAAAATGACGGGTTTGGCGCGCTATTGCTGAATGCAGCGTCGACCAACAAGGTTCACGACGTCAACCAGCTCCTTCGTGCCGGTGTCTCGCTCACATCGTCCAACAACGTACCGCACTTCGCCACTTCAAATCCCATAGCGTCTGCACTTTAGAACGGAGAGACGGCGATCCACGTGGCGGCTGCAAGCGGCAGTACCGCCGTGGTCCAGCGGCTACTTGAAAAGGACGCCTCGCTCGCGCATCGCCGCGATGCGGTAGGATCCATCGTTGGTTGTTACCATACCGAATGACACGTATCACTTGTCGTTAGCGAGGCAATCTGCCGCTGCACAGCGCGGTGACCAGCGGCCAAGCAGGCATCGTCGACGTCCTTCTCAAGAGAGCGACCCACATCGACCTCACGAGTACAAACAACGTACGGTCGCCACTGCTCTCGCCATCTTGAGTACTATCGGTTGCCGTGTTGTATAGGAAGGCTGTACGCCGCTGGATGTCGCCGTCCAAAGTGGCCACGCTGCGATGGTCGCGCGGTTGCTGAAGGCCCAAGCGTCGCTTGGCCCTGCGCCACACGTATGCCTCTCCGATGCGCTTCGTACAGCACCGTGACGCGTATGGTAGGAGGGATGGAGCCTTCTGCACAAGGCTGCCTTCGCCGGAAACCGCGACGTCATCCAAGTCTTTGTCAAGAACAGCTTCAACATCTTTGCGACAACGACGGTGTGTTGTGCAAGCCAACAATCAAGGCTTTTCATCGACCACTTGACCATCCACGTAGGTGGGCGAGACACCGTTGGCGCTTGCAGCAAAGCAGCAACACGCTCGTAACGTCCTGCAGACCTTGCGCGATGCGGAAGCCGATGAGAAGCAACTCTTTTTGGCGGCCGTGCGCGCTGGCGTCGACGACGACGTTGAACGGTTTGTGGCGAAAGGCGTCGATGTCAACACGACAGACGCGGTGCGTGGTCGAGCCGACACATTCCAGGTCATTTGCATCGTTGCACTAGACCACGGGCTTTTCTGCACTGCGATTGGCGGTTGCTGCCAAAGCGACACGCGTGGTCGAGCGACTATGGCGCGCGGGGGCCAGAGTGGGCGCGTCGGTGCGTTTTAGTTATTGCACCCTCCCGCGCCTTTCGTGTTGCTCATGGCCATGGGTTAGGAGGGCTCGGCGCTCGTGTCTCTGGCGGCCAAAAGTGGCCACGCAGACACGGTCACGTTGCTGTTGACGATGCTTGCCCCCGAAACGATTGCGGCAGCTATCGCAGCGAGCTACATCGAGGTCGTCAACAGTGGCCACACCGAAGTTGCTACCGTCCTTCTGTCGTACGTGCAGCGATGCGCAGCATCGGCAGAGCACACCAAGGTCCGTCAACTTTTATCACCCATGGGCATCTCATATGGATGAGGTTTAGATGCTGGCCATTCTGGCGGCCGCTGCCGGTCAGGTGGCGGTGCTGCAACGACTCCTCGCTGACGATATCAAGCGCTTGACGGACACTACCGTACGCTCTCTAGCTTCTCAACTCGGGTAGCACACGTCTGGTGCAGGACCGAGGCAGAACGTTGCTCATGCTTGCCGCTGCCAGCAACAGTGTCGAGATCGTCGAAATGCTTCTGTCTCTGCTTGCTCCCGTCTCCGAGGCGAAAGACGCGACGTACACGTCGTTGAAGGCACATCGTGTGGTCCTCCAAGCCGCCTTGACTCATCTCATGGCCCGCAACGAGGTACTGTACATCCTTGGGCCAACGGGAATTGGACTCACGACGTCGGGTTAGGACCGCAAGACTGCAGTGCAGCTCGCAACGAGCAAACATGTGAAGGCCCGCCTCGAAAGCTTTACCAAGGACACTCAGGATATGCTAAAGAGTGTGGACAACCAGATAACATCCAAGGTGCGTCGGGCCGTTGTTGTTGACAGTGCCGTTAGGGGCTTGCGTAGGAAGCCGCACTCGCAGAGGCCATGCGTGTGGGCCATTGGACGACCGCCACAACCCTCTTGCACGAAGGCGTCGTTGCCGACAACGTAGTACGGCGCCTCGACCTACCACGTGAGTTTCGATCTTTTGCTCGTAGCTCAAGGTGGTCGACCGAGTTGTCGCAGCGGAGGATGCCGACTTGCTCCTGGCGCTCCTTGGCGGTGTCACGGATGAGACCAGACGCAAGGTTCTACCATCTTTCTTTTGAGCGCCATGCTGACCCGCGCTCCCATGTACGTAGGTTTACCACACGGTGCTGGCGGCTGCCGTGGCCAAGACCAAGGCCCGACTGGTGTTGCGCCTTCTCCATAGTATCAGCAACATCAACATGACAGTACCCGCTTCACGCAGCCGCACACATCGTTCTAGCAGATCGATATCTGTGTAGATGGACTTGAGCAGTCTCTTGCACGACTGCGTCGAGACGGACCAACCGACGCTGCTCACGCTCCTCCTTGCAAGCCCCTTTGTCAACATCAACGCTACAAACCAGGTACTCGGCTTGTACTTGGTCACCCTTTGCTGACGATTGCGTCGTAGGAGGGATATACGGCGCTGGCGCTGGCAGTGCACTGCAACCGCAGTGCCATGGTCCAGCTGCTTTTGAGCCTTGACGCCGACGCGTCGATTCCGCTGCCCTCGGCAAATGGCGTAGACAGCTAGATGGCATGACGTTCTCGGCTTTACAGTGACGTAGGTGGGCATGTCCCTACTGCACGTCGCGACGCAAGGGCTACCAGAGACACGCGGTATCCGGGACGCGCTCTTGGCGGCCTTTGGTATCGTTCTGGACGACACAGACCCGGTACCTTCTGTCTCTCTATCACGATTTTAGCTCACAGATTCGACAAATTGCAGGAGATCACCAACAAAGCTTTGCTGCGGGCCGTCGTGGACGGACGCGAGGTCGCTGTTCGTTGTCTTTTGGACATGGACGTCGACGTCTGGACCATGCAGCCGGTGCATATTTCAGCTGCAGGTTCCTGGGCCGAGTGTCTGGGTTTATAGGAGCAAGATGATAAGACGCTACTGGCTGTGGCGATCCAACGCGGCCACAACGCTGTCGCGCAAGTGCTCTACCCGCGCATGTACCCAACGCCAGCCTTGGTACTCTCGTTGAAAGCTATTCGTGTTTCTGCAAATGCTAATGTTTTGTCAACTAGATCCTGGCCACCGACCTCCGCGTCAGAGCGGCCATCTTTGGGACGCCCAACGTGACCGTCTATACGGCTTCGTACCACGGCAAGGACGTCGTCTTAAAAGGCCCCAAGTTCCCCAACAAGCGCATCATGACAGAATTTCAAGGCGAAGTCGCCGCCATGCGAACGTAACCTATCCCTCCTTTCCCTCTTCTCTTCACGGTCTAGCGCGACTAGGGCCAAGTCGCCCTACTTGATGCCGTTGATCGGATTCCTCGACAACCAGTCGGCGGCGCCCCACACGTTCAAGCCGCGCGGGCAGCTGTACAGTCCGACCATGGTCATGGAGTACATGGACCTTGGCGACTTGCACGCGTACATTCAGGCCAAAAAACACAAGGTACCTGTGGAACTCGACCTCTCGACGATCGACGTCGCGCTTGTGCTGGCGTTGGCTCTCGTGGATCTGCACGCCCGCGGTCTCATCCACCGCGATGTCAAGAGTCTCAACATCTTTCTCTCGACGACGCACTATGTCCGGCTCGGCGACCTTGGCTCGGCGCGGACGCTCGACACAGACAGCGTCATGTCGTCCAACACCGGCACCAAGTACTGGATGGCGCCCGAGGTGCTTCGCGTGCCCGGGCATGGAGGGGAAGGCCGACCGTACACGACGGCCGCCGACATCTACTCGTTTGGCGTCGTCTTGACCGAGCTGGACACGCTCTCCGAGCCGTATTCACATGTCCCGGTCGAGAAGCGCGGCGCGATCGAGGAGAACGTTCGGTTGGGCAAACTGCGTCCGAAAATGAGTGCAACGTGCCTGCCCTGGCTCCCAGACCTCGCGAACAAGTGCTTGGCCTTTAACCCGAGAGCGCGCCCGACGGCCGCCGCCATTGTCGACGAGCTCCTCCTGCAGCGCAAGACGAAGGGCAATGCGTCTGCCAGCGCTGGTGGTCTACCGCCGTAGGTGCCAGACGGGAGCTGCGAGGTAGGCAAAAACATCTCGTCACGTCTTGGATGCTGACGGTGCACTTGCTCCTAGGTCGCGTAAGCCACTGCCGAGGCAATATACCACCGCGCTTACCGCTACGGGTTAGTTGGTTGCTCCTCGTTGTCGACCTCTTTAATCTGAAAGGAATGTGCTCGTTGTAAATAGCCGGATAGGCTTGCGGCAGGGGATGGTTGCGGCATACTACATGTGTATTAGCAGCAGGTTTTTGACGAGCTGGGTATGCTTGGCGAGCGTGTGGCGCAGCGACCCTACCCCTGTCGTCAATTCAAGGTGGATACCCTTTCGTGATGTACACCCTATGAAGCAAAAACCAGCATGAAAACCAGGAAAGTCATGCCATGTTGCACAATTACCGCGCACTGCTTGCACAAGATCGCCACGTCATATCGAACTTCATCCTTCTTCTCTTCCCTTTCTTCGATGTAAGAGGCACACGTTTGTGCTAGTCCCACCATTGAACGGGTAGTCGCCCTTTCTATAATGTAGTACTTGGTAGGTTGGCTGGTGTGACGAAAACGCAGCTGAGAGGATAGCGGCGTCTTCTTCTGGACACGTGGGTTCATTTTGTGTTGCAAATCGAAGTCGTTGTATATCGGACCATGCCACATCGCACACCTCGCAAGACGAAATGTCCCTAGTCCGCAGCTCCCATGAGCTACGAGCGTCCGTCCTCCGTCCGACCCCGTGGCGAGAGTCCCACGGTGCGCGGACCACCGCAAAAAAGCCTTCCAATTCCTTCGAGTGTTCACATTCAGATTTGAACCACGTGGGCCATGGCGACGAGGCGCGAGCTATCAGACGAGACGCTTGAGCGCAACCGCGAGCGTTCCAAGCAGTACTACGCCATGCACCGTGACAAGGTGCTCGCCAAACTCAAGTCGAAATATGCGCAGAAGCGCGAGGCCGAGACGAAAGCCTACTACGAAAAGCACCGGTGCTTTTTCGAGAGCTATTTTAAAGTCGATGTGCCGACTACGACACGTGAGCTCCCGTCGACCAGAGGCAACGAAAGTACTACAGCGTTATCGACGCAAGAGAGAACGACGGCCGCGGGACCTCTGGATTTGTCCTTCATTCTCAATTAACCTCGTACAACTATATATGAACCTTTCATTTGTTGCGTTGTCGGAATCGGACAAAAAAGTGTGCGTGTTGTGTTAGGATTCTTATCCTATCGCGCATCGGCTACGTCTGGATAGTGTGCAACGATCGTAGTTGCACCACTGGATTATCCAGTTTACATAATGAACCCAATACACTTTACATTTTGCCTCTGAAGACACAAGTCTCTGCCTTTGTGCGCCTGTACGGACTCTCGCAGTTCCGACATGTTGATGCTCCCAGTTTGACGCACCAGCGCGTCTGGTTCACCAAAAAACACCACTTCAAATTCGTCAATGATCGACGCACCCCACAGTGCACACTCATGCAACCGAAATGCAATGACAGTCCATTGATTATATATACCGATGAAGATGTGAGGTCACTCCCTGTACATTCAAACGACCCGTAAGCGCCCACAGCTGCCTGCATGCTGAGCAGTAGCGATGCCAAGCGTAGGTGACAACGAGGAACTAGATTGCGCCATTCGAGGACCCAAATCGCTTCGACGTACTACTATAATTGGATTGACTACGTACTGTAGAGTAGCTGCCAATGCGATATGGGACACTATAGCACAACCCACTGCCTGGCCCACTGCTGTCGGACCATCGGTGCTGCGCGTCAGAGCTACTATTGCTGTATGTCAACTCCGCTAGGAAATGGCAATGTTGAACGTCCTGGTGCCTCGTACCTGCATTTGCCTCACAAGGGGTCACTTTGGCACTCGAGGGGAAGGAAGATTCTAAGGTACATTAATCAATCAAACGTGTTTGCGTTGAGATCAAGGCAGCAAAAACTAACCCAAAGACTGCGCATACGTAGTGAGTGCTACGCCTGAATGCATGGGAGTCGGCACTAGCACTTGGTCGTTGGGAGTGAGCTGCGAACAGAAAGATCCGTCCCGTGGTGGACCCCACTCGCCGGGTGATCCAAAAGTACCTGAACAAGCAAACGGTGAACGGACGGGTAACGCAGCCGGGGTCCTGAATTTGAACCCGCAACTGGTGTTCGAGCTGTCGCATGAAAGATGTAATAAGAACGCGCTCGTTTGATAAACCCATACAACAACGCCCAACGAGGTTTCTGCGCCGTGGGAACGGTTGCTTCTAGTGGTGGAGTGCGGAGTGTCGAGCATGATGCGTGAATGATTGCGGGGAAGCGAGGTAGGTACGTCAACAAACAGTGTGGTGGCTGCAGTGACACGACAACATGACGACACCCTAGCGCCTCACTGTTCCTGATTAGCTAACCGAGCCAAATACTGGGCCACGTTCATTGGCCACTTGCAAAGCAATATCTGAGATATGATTGGCGGTTTTGAATACCGCACGCGCATTGGTCGAGAGTGGTCGGGCTGGCGATCTTGATCTATCCATCCGGAGCGCCTTACCACCGGCAATCACGAGAAGAATGAGCAGCCGAGGTATCCGGATATACTTTCGAGTGCCACAAGCCTTATACAGTTATATTGCTTGCTAGACGCCAGCTAGACGCAGTAGTTGAGCCTTCACATTTTGTACCATAGTGGAGAGTGAGTGAAGGACCACCCGACGTGTCTTGACCGCCATGACGACGGTCAAACTTCCTGGTCGCCTCGGCAATGCGCTGTCGGATTCTGGTACGTGCAGCTGCCGTCATCATCCGAACAACACCCTGGATATATCCAACATTGCATGGATAGTGCGTCCAGGATACTCGACACCACCCAACAAGCTCGACACCGAGTTGTTCGTTGCAATTTCAATGGGCCATCATGATCCAATGCGATGCTAGAAAGACATACACTCTGCAACGAACGTTTGCTAACCGACGTGCTTTCCAGGGTGTCCCAGCCGGTTTTGGCCCAAGAAACCGGTTGTCTTGCCCTTTTTCCCTTTGCACTTTCAACGCGCAGTCTGTCTGCATGCTGCACTTGGCAAGGTCGTCCATGGAAGAAACACCAACTCCCTCGAAACGAACGCTGTCGTCGCAGACACGCGAGCGCAATCGCGCCCGTGCACGCAGGTACTATGAACGCCACCGCGAACTCGTGCTCGCCCGACTCAAGGCGCGGTACGAAGCCAAGTGCGCGCGGCAGCGAGACGAACGACGCCAGCGAAAGCACGTGCGTTTGCAAACAATGTGGCGACGACATCCCCCGATTGACCGCATGTGCCTGGCCTTTCTCCTCAACTAGTCGGCTCGAAACTCGTCGGCTCGAAACGCCTTGTGTGAATTAAAGACAACTTGTACATTTGATTTCGCATGCGTAAACGTGGTGCAGACAAAACCGAGGCGGCTGCCGACAACGTCCGTCGCCCTATGTTTTCGTACAGGCGGGACACTTCCGAACGACTCGGCGGATCGAGACCATCAGTCGATTCGCACGGCGTCTATTGAGTGCAGTACATCGTCGATACGAAAGCCATCCATCACAGGCCAAGGACTTGGTGCATGCATTGGTTTGATGTGCCACCACACGACCCCAAATCAACAAAACCCGAGGTATAGCTTCCTAGCACTATTACATTTCAATGGTTAAGTCTTCACACCGACCGCGGCGCTGACGTTTGGCTGCGTGTCGGTCTTCGTCGGTGGCGTCCAAGGCCGCCAGGCCGGCCACGTCCAAAGCGTGCTCGTAACATATCCAGTGGCGAGGCTTCTGCAGCACGACGTGGGACCCCGTCGGACTCTCGTCGATGGCAACGCCTTCGGACGGCAAGCGCTTCTCGACAGCGCTGAACAAGGGGCAGAGTCCAATGTGGGGCAAGCTGAGCAGCGACCGCGTTTCGTCCGACAAAAAGCTTGTGATTGCAGTGCATTGGACGCAGTCGCACGGCAGCTGGACGCTTGGAATGACCCAATTTGGGCGACTGGGCGCCATATCGTTGGCCAGGTGGCGTTGCAGCACGGGGCGCGCCAGCGTCGCCAGCCATCTCGCGAGATCGTCGTCGTCGTCTCGCACCATCTGATGAAGCGGCACGAGGACGTAGCGAGCGAAGGCAACGTCGTGGAGCTGACGATGCGTCGCCACGGCGCGTCGCCACATGTCCAGCGGTCCGTCGAGACGACGCAGGAGCAACAGCATCGCTTGTAGCACCGCAAGTTCGTCCCGCAACAGCATTTCAACCACGTCAGGCGGGTTCTCGCGCATCTCTTCATGGTCATGGTCCTCGTCGACGTCGTCGGCCAGGAACGCCGTGACAAGCGTCAACAGTGGGTCACGGAGCACAGTCAGTGTCGGCGCATCGTCGAGGAGCTGCAGTAGAGCCGGCAAGATGAACCGCCCAAGCCACGCCTGCGCGTGCTGCAGTACCAGCGGCAACGCATGGGCAGCTCGAGCGACACGAACAACCGCGGCCAGCACTGTATCGTCGAGGATACCGTTGAGACTCGCCAAGCAGCCTGGAAAGGTCGCAAATACCGTCCGGAGCCAAGGACGTAGCTGCAAGTACGCGGTGTCGTCCGTGTTCAAAAGCGGGTCGATTGCAACGGCGACGCAACAAATCGGATGGAACGCAGTCGGGTACTTCGTCAGCAGCGTCGATAGCGTCGACGCGCGGTATGCATCCACATGTCGCACGAGACTCGGCGGCAGCTTGGCGCCGAGCCACGTCGCATTCGCCTCGGCCGTCAAGCCAAAGTACGCTTCGAGGACAAGCCCGTGGTGGAGGAGCGCTGATGGCACCGACGTTGGCGCCTCGGGCATCGACACGAGCGCGTGGAGAAGCGCATGCCAGCAGTCGAGGAGGCCCTCGCGGGCACATGGCTGCGTGTGCAGTGCACTGCGCGGGTCGGCGAGATGCCGCAAGAGCTCGGCGCCCTTGGCCGCGCCCAGCCACGTGGCGCCGGCGCGCGACAGCAGGTGCTGGAGTGCGTCCTGGAGCGGCATCCAGCCATACGTCTGCAGCGCGTGCGTGATCCATGCCGCCATGGCATCAAAGTAATAGACGTCGCTCAAGT